TTGCTCCACTGGTGCCGCTCTGCTTCCCCCCTTGATTACCTCTCTGGTAGCTTACCCGTCCACGGTCTTGGCAAGATTACCACTGGACCCGTCGGCTTCTGGAATCAGTTGCTTCCGCAAATGTCTTCAACACAATGACTCTCTGACTGACTGATGCGAATCGGGTATATGGACTCGGGTGCATCCTCTCATCTTTCTTCATCTTCCGTAATCTTTCCAATATCAGCCCCTCTCTTCACTCCAATTCTAATATACTTGTTGGTAATGGCACCCGTCTACCTATTACTTGTTCTGGCTACACCTTACTTCCAAATTCACACCGTCCTTTTCACCTTTCTAATGTTCTTGTGTCACCTCAACTCATAGCTAATCTCATTTCCGTTCGCAAATTTACCACAGATAATTCATGTTCAGTTGAATTTGATCCTTTTGGTTTATCTGTGAAGGATCTCCAAACCAAGACGGTACTCCACCGCTGTGATAGCTCTGGGGATCTTTACCCACTCCTTCCGACGTCCACTTCACATCCTCGTGTCCTGCTCGCTGCCCTGGAGACCATTTGGCACCGGCGATTGGGGCATCCCAGCAACCAAGTTCTCTCCCGCTTGCGAATAAATAATTCTATTTCTGTAATTCCTAGTGAGCATGACACCTCTTTGTGTCATGCCTGTCAGTTGGGTCGTCACACTCGTTTGCCTTTTCCTACTTCTATGTCAAGAGCATCTAAACCTTTTGAATTAATTCACTGTGACTTGTGGACGTCTCCTGTTATAAGCATATCCGGTTCCAAATACTACCTTGTGTGTTTGGATGATTTCACTCATTACTTGTGGACTTTCCCACTTAAACTGAAATCTGAAACATTCAACACTTTGCGAAACTTTCATAGCTATGTGCTCACTCATTTCCATTGTCGTGTCCAATTTATTCAAAGCGACAATGGTCGCGAATTCGACAACAATGTTGCTCGCTTTTTTTTTTCCTTCAACAAGGTATTCATCTTCGTCTTTCTTGCCCTCACACATCCCAACAAAATGGCAAAGCGAACGTGTCATTCGATCCATCAATAACATCATGCGCACATTGTTGTTTCAAGCATCTATGCCACGGCATATTGGGCTGAATCACTTCATGACCGCTACTTATTTATTTAACCTTCACCCCACCAAAACTCTTCAAAACCGCACCCCACACCAAGCTCTTTTTGGTACACCACCCTCCTACGCTCACCTCCGTGTCTTTGGGTGTCGTTGTTACCCCAATCTTTCCGTCACTATGCCCCATAAACTTGCACCACGCTCTACGTAATGTGTTCTTCTTGGCTTTCCGATAACCATAAAGGGTATCGTTGCCTTGACCTCACCACCAATCGAGTGATCACCTCCCGTCACGTGGTCTTTGATGAGCAACAATTTCCTTTCACACGTGACTCACCGACACCATTGAGTGCCTATGATTTTTGGATGATATCTGATGTTGATCCGGTGATATGATATCCGGCGGCTTCAAAGGTGCCTTCTAACTCTCATTGGCCCACCGATAAACCGCCAGCGCTGGGTCCGATTGTGCCTTCATTTGCCCAAACCAGCTCATCGTACCTCCACATCATCAAGGCACGACTTCCACCAACCGCGACAAGGGCGGGGATCGGCAAAGCACCCCTTCCTCTTGTCTTTTAGGGCCAAGATTTGGCTCCAGCATACCATCAATGATCCGGGCCACCGACCCCAGACGTCTGCTGAGGCCTGCACTATCGACCTCCGGTTATGCAAGTATACACACGCCGACAGAACCTCTGGAGCACCACCGGTCTGCAGATCAACCACCACTAGTGCCATCTCCTGCGCGCCCAAAGACCACCTCCATCATCATCCCCGCTGCTATGCGCTCCTCAAATGCGCCGATTGTGCTGTCCCTCCCACCATCAATCAAGACGCCATGCAAACCGGGGGCAAAGTCGGCATCACCAAATGACCCACGACAAAGAAGGCGGGCAAGTTTATCGCAATCTGGCAATGGCTTCCAAAGATATTAGCTTTTCCAAAAACATATCGTGGTGCTCTTTTCGATCCGAATTGGAAGCGTGCCATGGAGGAGGAATATGGTGCCCTCATTGCTAATCAAACATGGGACCTTGTGCCACCGCCTCCACATGCTAATATTGTTTTTAGGCAAATGGCTATACCGTCACAAACTAAATCTTGATGGGTCTTTGGCAAGATACAAGGCTCGTTGGGTTGTGCGCGGCTTCTCTCAACAACACGGCCTTGATTATGATGAAACCTTCATCCGGTGGTCAAGCTCGCAACAATTCGCATGCAGTATTATCACTTCTTTGTCTCCAAAGTGATTGGCCTATTCATCAACCGGATGTCAAAAATGCATTCTTACATGGTACTCTCAACGAGACTGTTTATTGCCAACAACCACCTGGGTTTGTTGACCCTTCTCGTCCTAATTATGTGTGCAAGCTCAACAAAGCTCTATACGGTCTTAAACAGGCCCCGCGGGTTTGGTATAGTCGCTTCCAGGCGTTCATTACTTCTATTGGTTTTCAGGCTTCTCAATGTGATACTTCACTTTTCATATATACTCATGGTACGGATATGGCATATCTTCTCTGTATGTGGATGACATCATTTTGATGAGCTTCATCCCATCATCTTCTTCAACATATTATTGGCTCCCTTCAAAGAGGAATTTGCCATGACTGATCTTGGCAATCTTCACTATTTCTTGGGAGTTTCTGTTTGAACGGTCATCCATGTGTCTTTTTCATCTCAAGCTAAATATCTTCTTTGAAATCCTGGTCAAGGCAAACATGTCATCATGCAACCCTTGCCAAACTCCACTTGAGGTTCATTCAAAGCTGTCCTCCCAAGATGGACCACCGATTCTTGACCCTACATTATACCCATGATCTTTTTGGTGCCTTACAATACTTGACTCTCACACGGCGGACATTGCTCATGCCGTTCAACAAGTTTGCTTGTATATGCATGATCCCGTGGAGTCGCACTTTGCTCTCATCAAACGATTTTTTGCGATACATCAAAGGCACTATGGACTACGGCCTTGCTCTTTCTCGCAACCGATCTCATGAGCTAGTGGTTTACTCAGATGCCGATTGGGGTGTTTGCCTGAACACACGTCGCTCCACTTACGGCTATTGTGTATTTCTTGGTGATAATCTTATATCATGGTCCTCCAAGCGCCAACACACCGTCTCGCGGTCTAGTCTTTGTCAAGTTTGAATCTGTGGGTGTTGCCAATGTTGTATTTGAGACATCTTTGGATTAAATCGACTCTGAGTGAGCTTCGTCGTCCTTTAACACGTGCTACTCTTGTCTATTGTGACAATATCAGTGCCGTGTATTTGTCCACAAATCCAGTTCATCACCAAAGGACCAAGCATGTGGAGATCGATCTCCATTTTGTTCGGGAGCGTGTGGCCCTTGAGCTGTCCGAGTACTTCATGTTCCAACGTCTCTTCAATATGCTTTGATATATTCACCAAGGGTTTGCCAACTCTTTGTCTTCATCAATTTCCGCTCCAGTCTCAACGTTCGCTCATCTCCCGGTTGAGTCTGCGGGAGGGTATTAGAATACAAATAGTCTAGAATGTGATAAGTCTAGAATGTGATAAGTCTTATACGAAGAGTCATGTATCCCCTATATAAACTCTTGTTCAATGAATAGAAAGTGCTCAGTCTGGCAATAATCATTCTATCATCCTTGACAAGCAAGTGATTGGTATTTAGATTATCCAATAAGTCACATTTTTGGATAATTGGATTCAAATTCAACAACTCATATTCATTTTAGTTTGTGCTCTGTTGTGCTGTGAATTAATGCTCTGCTCTAGTGGCTGACAAGTTAGATGCGTTACTGCGTTTTGTAATCCAGTTGATATCGGACCCATTTATAGGTTTTGTTCTCTTTTGTCTCGATTGCAGCCCCAATTGTCTATGAATCTGCTAATAGTTTTTTTTTCTTTTGACCTAGCTTTTTTTTTTAGTTTTCTAAGACCTGGGCTGTGAGTTTTTGCTATGATCGGTAGTACTCTGCAGCAGCACCACTCACCAAGCACACACTCACCAAACACCGTTGAAATCAGCGATACTTTTCAGTAAATAAACAGTATTTTTCTCTCATAGTAAATCAGACCCAGCATCAGCATAAGTCAAATTTCAGAAAAAACGAACATGATGAATGAACAGTGTTTTCCTCTCACAACAAATTAGCACAAGCATCCGCATAAGCCAAATTTCAACGAAACGAAGAGGGCTGGCCTACTATTCATTCGCTGAAAAGTACCGCTGATTTAGCCATAGCTGCAGCCTTAGCTCTAGACTAGAAGTGCAGCCCAGCACTCCCTTTGTACAAGTTGTGCTCCATGTATTGAAATGTACAAGTATTTATACCTTGAATTCACAAACTAGGGAACAGAACTGAATTGACTCTGGATAGTGGATTGTAGCCATTTTGTACCATTTTCACTATACGGTATGGGCCAGCACGTGAAGTTAAAACAATAGAAAATAGACACAAGAAGAAACAAGAAAAGAGGAAGGAATCTGGCGGGAGAAACAGGGAGCATGTATCAGGTAAAAAATAGTCCATATTTTGACAATGGCCTAAATAAAATATCTAAAAAACGTAACTGATGCTTTATGAAACTTGGCAAATTGGTAAAAGTTGAGTTTCTGCGTGAGTCGGTTAGAAAGCAAGGTGCTAGAATTGCTTAGCATTTCAGAATAAAAATGTTGTTTACCACAACTAAATTTATGACGATTTACCAGATTATAATACCCAGAAAAGTTAAAGATACGTGGATAGAAAAGAAGAGAAACAAGAGAAACAGATACGTGGGTCCTGCACTCCTGCTTCCATCCATCTCCGATGTACTGATCCCCCTCTATAAATAATTCCCCACACCGCCCCGGTCAAAATCACACGCTAGGTTGCTAGAGTCCCGCCCAATTCCAAAGCACTCCGCCATGACGAAACCCACCGCTGGCTTCCAGACGCTGCGCCCTTCCTCCCTTCGCTCCTCCTCCACCGCCGGCGCCCGCTCCGCCGCAGCGAAGCTCGCGGTCGCCAGCGCCGTCCCCCGGGACCTCGCCTCCAGCACCAAGGTAATAACCCCAACGATCAACGCGCACACCTCCTCGGCTCCTCCTCTCGCCTTCGCAGCCGTGTCTCACGTACTAACTCGGCCTCGTCCTCTTCCTGTGCTGATCAGGTGGTGCGCAAGTGCCTGGACTACGACGGCGACTCCACCCTCCCTGCTTCCGCAGCCTCCACGCCGCCGCTGGAGGACGGCCTCGCACCTCTGCTGGACCTGCCGGACCCTGAAGTCTCCGGCGACTCCTCGTCCTCCATCATCTTCTCTGCTCCGGATGACGCGGTCATAGCTTCCGCCGACTCCTCCGTCACCGAGGTTGGGATATCGACTCGTTTCAATTCGAATTGCTTCTGAATGTTTCGTTAGTGCTGTATACGAATTTGGGATGCAGGTCGTATTTAGTTTTCCGTTTGATCGGTGCTACTGCAATATTCGTGGTCCTTGTACCATTTGAATTTGAGTTCCATCATCTTCGCCGCGCCCGCCGACTCCATCGCCGACAGCGACGCACCCCTTCCGGAGCAAATCAAGCTCGTCATGTCCTCAGCCCGCGCTCCAAGCGCCTCCTCACGGCGCTCGCCGAGGCCGCTAACGCCGAGCTCACCCCCACGACGACCGCCGCCCGCCGCCTCCGTCGCGCCACTTTCTGGGGCAAGGTGCGCGTGGCGGTCCTCGCCGCGACGGTCACCACCGTGGCCGCCATCGACGTCGCGCTCGCCGCCTACCTCTACGCGCGCCGCGTCAACGACCGGTACCACGTCATGCCCCCCACCTGATCCCAGCACCACGTACTCCGACCGCCGCCGCCCGTGCGCCTCGACCTCGATCGTCCAGACGAAACTGTGATCGCTCCCTCGGTGTCCCTGCTGAAGTGCTGATTGTGCGACGTTTGCCCATTGCCCAGTATACGTAGGCACGTAGCAATGTTGCTGTTAAGAGTTAATGGCTGCAGTTGTTTAGTTCTAATTCTGGCTACTGATTTATGTTGCGAGTAGCGCATTGCATTGCATCATTAAGACATTAGCATTGGTGGTACCCTGGTATAGGTCAGAGAAGTATGCTCAGAAGAGAGTAATTAATGGGTGTTGTGGTTCGGTTCACTGTATGAAGTTTGATCGCACTGTTTGGTATCATCGCCTCGTTGGCTAATTGTTAGTGCTCTGATAATCACATTAAAGTATTCAAATCCGGCGCTCCAGATATTTGCATGTTTTTTTTTCTCACGCTACTTAAGCAACATTCAAGGTATAACTCCATATAAAAAAGAGTGACATTCTATATCTAAATAAAATTAACTTTCTAAGTTCGATCAAATTTGTAGAAAGAAGTATTGACATTTATATCCAAATAGATTTACTATACAAATATATATACTCCATTCACTCCAAATTATAAAACGTTTTCACTTTTCTAGATACATAGCTTTTGCTATATATTTAGATATACACTATGTCTAAATACATAACAAAAATAATGTATCTAGAAAAGATAAAACGTCTTATAATTTGGAACAGAGAGAGTATTTATTTAGCATCATAAATATTAGAGAAATCATAAGTACTAAAGGATTCAACCTTTATTCCATTCAACACTCCCCCCTCCGACCACATCTTTTTTAAAAGATTATTTAGCCCCCTTTGAAATGAAGAAAACCCATAGGAACTTTAAAGGGGATTCAATTTCTATAGAAAAAAAATCACTATGAGGTTCTTGGGAATAAAAGAATGCTTCCAAACAAATTCTTTTGAAATTCATACGCATTGGACCCTTCTACACCCCTTTGGAGCGCATTAATTTCACAGAAATTTCACAAAAAAAAAAAAGAAATAGAAAATTGTCTCACAAAGGGACTTAAAGGAATTTTGGATGAAACTAAACATGAGCACCAACCTCATTGTTTTAATTTCCTATGTTTTTCTACCTTGCTTCCAAATGCATCTTCCCAAACTTTTCTTTGTTGCGAAATCCCGTGGGATTTGAAGGGTTAGGATATTTCATTTCTGTGTTTTTTCTATTCCTCTATGTTGTGTTTTTGCAAATCTTTTGTTCGGGAGAGGGACTCAGAGTGTGCAAGACCATGGACTGTGCACTGTACTGAACTGAACCGCATTTTTGTGTTCTGAAGCCCTGTAAGAGATGGATGTCATTTTCTGAGACCTGTGTTACATTTGTGTTCAGATCAAACAGTGAAAATAAGATCAGGGCCTGGCATCGTGTTGCGTCGTTGAGAGTCAAGACAAACTGTCAAACCGGCCAGCAAACCCGCGCATCGCATTCGGCGTTCACATCACATCAGATCCAAGTGTCCAACTCCAACCGTTAGCTTGCACCGTGACGCAACGCTACCGCAGTACCCTCGACTCCCCGAGATTCGGTTCGATTCCCTCTCCTCCTCCTCCGTTGCTTTTCGCTTTTCCAACGGCAGGAGCCGAGACCCGGAGAGCCATGGCCGGCGTCGTGGGTTGTCTCGAGATGAGTGTAGGACCGCGATGAGCCCGGTGGTTTGGGTGGGGGTGCTCCTTCCGGTCCCGCAACCGGTCCGGGCGCAGTGATGGAGGGGACGCTGGTGGTCGCGTGGCGGAGGCTGCGCGGCCAGGCCGTGGCCCAGGAACGGGCGGCCATGGCCCGCCGCATCGAGGCCGCGCTCCAGGTGCGCAGTGAGTGGAGGTAACCGCATCAATCCGCGACGACGCGAAATGCTGCGAATTGGATTTCGGGTCGCTGCATTAGTGCATTTTATACCCAAGGGAGCTTGTACTGATTGCAGGAAGCGAAGATGGCGTTATCTGGAGACGAGGCCAGGCTTCAGGATGTGCAGAGGCTGCTCAGGAGAAGGCAACAGTGCATGGTAGCCCAAGTTGCTGCCTTGTATCCTGTGAGAGTCTTCTATGATCAGGCACAGCATGCAGAAAACCGTTGTCAGTCAGAATCCATTACTCGTACTCCTCTCTTGAAGAATAATGTTTAACAGGATATGCATGACTTTGTGAATGCCCTTTTAGAAGGAATGACATTGCTCTGACTTACTTCATGTGCACGCTAGTACATGAGATTGACTGGTTTGTCTATCCAATAGACCCCATTTGTTGGCTGTGTCAATTGAGCACTATCATTTAATTTCCTTGTGTGCTAGTACTGATCAATACTATATTTAATGTAGGAATGTCAGTGTTTACATTTCCTAGTCCATGACCTAATATTGAAGCTTCCCCCATCTCCCTGGTTGCATTTCTAGTCCATTACCAAATGCTTTGGTTGTATAGATCTTAATTTCTGATATGCTAATCTAGTTGATGGCATTGTATCTGCACTTGATGCCGGGAGAACTGAGGATGAGGAAGTGCAGTAGCCACTGCCGCTCAAAATGCATTCACATTCATTGAAATCTCCATTTTGGTTCTGAACTTCTGATACAGCTTGCTTAGGATATTCCTATTTAAATATCACTGGTTAAAATGTCCACAAATCAGTGTTTTCCACTAGAGAAATTAACAGGGGAAAATGGTGCCTGAATCAATTTATGATGAGATAACAGAATACTTTCAGGAGAGCATGGAATACTTGAGGAAAACAGAACACTTTTAGGAGCATATGGAACACATTTACCCAGCGTTATGAAATCTGCACAAGTATATCCATTGACATTTTTTGGTTGGCAAATCATGAAGTACAGAACAAAGCAAAAGAGTCACAGTGACAGGGAGCTTCAGAGGTCTGCAGCTGTTCTGGGATATGCAGCACAAGTAAGTCTGTCTACCGGGTATGTATTATTTTCACTATTTTTCTTCTATGTAACTTAAGTATCCCAACTTAGCTGCGCTTACTGTGTGATATCCAAGGGATAAGGCACCATATATATTTTTGCACTATCAATCTTGAATGGATTTGGGTAAACATTATGCTACAGCATACTTATTGTAGAAACTAGAAAAGATCAATTCTAGAACATTGGGTTTTCATTTATTAGTCTTTTTTGAAAATGTATATTAGTTTGGAATGTCAAAACATAAGCATCATGGTCCTTCCAAATTTCAGGTGATTTTTAAAAAAGAGATTTCATCTGCTTATATTGAAAACCAGTAAACTATTTAACAGACTCTGGGGATACCAGATTACAATTTGATCAGCAGAAACGAGCAAAACACAGCTATCCTATCACAGAGAGCTCTCAGATCTCGCCCACATTTGAGATAATCATTGTTGGAGGTTTGAAGTTATGCATCCAGTTCAGCACTCTCTGTTAATGTCACCAGCTTGTCTTGAACTCTTGATCTTTTGAGTTCAGCAACAGGCACCGCTTTTGCAATAGAGCCACACCAGTGAAGATTACATCAACAGGATTGCTGGGAAAAGTATGTTCGATCCCCATCTTGTTACGATTGTTCCTTAAAGCCCAAGCAAAACCTGCAAAAACAAAATGGTCTAACTGCCGAGAAACCCCAAACTTACATTTGATCCAACAATCCCTAAGATCTGCTGTTGACACCGGAAACCCTGCCAGTGTAATACTTCCCTCAATCAGCACCGAATCATTCTTGCTATACCAAAGAAAGTATGGTCAGTATACTCTAAATCTCCACACAAGCTACACTTAATACTGCCCTTCCAACCTTTTTATGACATAGCTGCCAAACGAACACCTTAATCTTCATGGGAAGTTTACATTTCCAGAACACCTTTGCTTGTTGGTCTATAATCCCTCCATGGGCCAGAAATCTGTATAAAGACCTAGTGGTAAAGAATTTAGATTTATCTAAATCCCAAAATACCTCATCCTTCCGATCATAGTGAATCTCAGTGAATCACCAGCAGCATATCATCCCAAGCCTGTATTTCTGCTTGGTACAGACATGAGACATCTCCTAAACTAGATACTCCATGCTCCATACAGATCCCATCTTGTTCCTGCATATCATCCCAAGATCTGTATAAACTGGGTGGATCTGCCTGGGCACATCCCTGACTCCATTTATCTCAGCACGTAGTGGGCATCAGGGTCGGTGTGACCGGCCATGGCCGCCAACGCGCCAGGCACCGCCTGCCCCCTAGGCTCTGCAGTACCCCACCGCCCAGAGCATAAGCGCCTGGGTGAGCACGGAATAGCGCCTTGTGGTACACTGAAATTGCATCCCCCCAATGAAAAAAGTTAATTGTGTATTTCCGTTATCTTCTTAATGGAAATGGGGAATCCCCTTGTTGAAAAAAAAAGTTAATTGTGAAGAACCCCTGTGCTGAGAAAAAATGATGTGTCCCCTATATATTTCACCTTAAGCAATCGAGTCCAAGTCTCATCAGAACATTAATTAGCTTCCGAATCCACTTTACCAGCAAACATTCATTCATTGTATTGGTGTTTATCACCACAAGACCCCCTTGGTCTGTAGGCCTGTTAACCGTGGCCCATTTGGCCATATGATACTTGAAATCATCACTAGCACCACGCCATGAAAAAACTTTCCCTAATAGAATCCGTCTTATCATGAGTCCCTTGAGGTAAGAGGTAGAAGTCCATAGTCCATGTATCCAGCCTCTTAATCATTTCATTGCGAATGCTCATGAAAGCTGGTATTCCAAGATGGTCATCAGAGATTGGTATGCCCAAGTAAGTGAGGCAAAACTCCCACGTTACAGTTTAGCATATTAGCACGCCTTTCCTTCATATCCTGCTCCATCCGAAAAGCACCAAATTTTCAGGTGATCACCAATTACAATATCAAATATCTATAAAGCATAAGTAATATAAGAGTTCAATTTTTTTCTGCCTTCTTCTGCTTGTACCTCTGTTTTTCAGTCACAACAGTTGCAATCACGAGTTGCTTATCTTATGTATTTATTGTAGGCAGTTTTGCTCATAGCTCCTACCTCGATGTTCCTCTCCGATATGCTTTGCGCTTTGGAGGATCCCGATTGTTTGCCTTCACCAGAAGCATTATCTGCTGCTTCAGCTCAACACTTGAGTGTCGACAACACCCTGTCACAGCTAACAGGATATCCCCTTTTCCTGGAATGCCAAGAAAACGACCCCACTAGTGCATCCTATGCTATTTATTTGTTGCATAAGGTGTGCATTTTTGCTACCGAATCTTGTATCATAGCTGCTATATCTCCGTTGCAATGCTTGTCCGATCTAGTTTTCACCTGCAAATTGAGACTGTTCGTCCATTTCCATGTGGATGATTAGGATACAGAGCAGCTTCTGGAGTACACTGGAGTGGAGAGGTCAACATGTGTGTTTCAGGTTTCTCCTACATGTTTATCCTAGGCAAACTAGATATTGTGCAAATAACATGGATCAATGTCGACATCACAATTTTTGTGACCGACACGACACCTGAGATTCTGGCACGGTTCTCACAAGGCCAGTATTGAAGAATGGAAAACCGGGCGTCATGATGCAAAACAAATCCACTCCGAGTGGCATGGCTTTCCAGCCTGGCAATGTTGTTGCGTGACAATACTACCACTAATCTGCAGCCGGATCAGATCGGCAAACCACAAAGCGGACTTTTTCTATGGTTGGGGTTGAGAAAGGCAGGGCTCTTGATGTGCCCCGGCTGAAACTGTTTCGTTGTGAGAGAAAAATACTGTAGATTCTAGATGATAAGTTCAAGGGAACCGCTGTGGCCATCATCATCCGCCGCACCACACGACACGACGGCGGCGAGCCGGCGGCCAAAGGTGAGATGAGAGATGAGAGCCCGGAAAGAAGCTTTTCGGCACCGTCCAGGATCCACCCACCACTGAATTCCTCCTGATCCGTAAAAGAAGCCAGCTGCAACGACTCAACCAGGCAGGGCAGCACATCAGATGGTCAGGTCGGCAGATCCCCCAACCCCACCAGAGGCCAGGCCACCACCCCACCCAGTCACCCACCGCCACGCCTCCCCCTTCGAGGCCAGACCAAACACGCGGGAAAACAACCCCACCCACGCCGATCCCCGCTGTCCTCTCCACTCCTCTCCCCCCTCCCGGCTCCCGCGGGTGGCGTGGACGCACGTGCCAGTTGCCACGGCCAGGTGGGTCCCTGGCGAGCGGGGCCCGCGCCTGCCACCTTCCCCCGCTGCCGTGCGCCCGTGCCCGTGCTCCCTGTTGCCAATTGCCATCGCTTTTGCCGGCGCGCCGCTCTCTCTTTGAGCCTTCCTTTCCCGTTCGGTACCCCTGACCTCCTCCTGTTCCCGTCTCTCTCTGCTCGGCCACCCGCCATCGCCATTGCCGCCCCGCCGCACTGGAGGCGCGCCAGCGGTGTGCGGCGGCCTAGGCCTTCCCGGTGGTTCCCTCTGCCACCGACGACGACGACGGCGGCGATTCAGCCGAGGCCGCGATCCTCCTCGTGTTTTCACGGCTCAGGTCTTTCTTCCTGACGTGCCTCGGGTTTCTGATCCCGCTCCTGCCTGCCGCCGTCGCCGGTGACGCTCGCCTTGCTGTGCCCCCGCGTGGCGATTCTCGCTTTTCCAGATCCCGGGCTCCGATCAGATCACCGGCTACCTAAAGGTACTATCGGCCGATCGCTATGCTATCTGAGTGCATCTGAAAACAAGGATCATGTGCATTTGTGTTCTTATTTGTGCTTTGGCATTTATATATGTTCTGTCCGACCTAAACATTGGTATATACTGTTATCTAGGCATCACATAAGCTGCAAATATGTTCTGTTTACTTCATTTCTTGTTCAGCCTGTCAAATCCAGCGAGTTAATGTTGCTTCTGTGTTTCCATGTGCTGGATTCGTCTAGGCAACTGACAGAGGGCAGGCCATGGGCATTGAGGTCGAGGCAAAGCACGATGCTTGGTGCAGCATCAAGAAAACGCTAAGGTGTTCTATCAGAACAAGCTGGAGATGTGCCTCTGAACATTGGGCAATATTCAGCCTAGTGCTACTGCTCTACCTGCTGTACAAGTACACGCCGGGTTTCTTCGCTTTCCTGCTTTCCACTTCTCCGGTGATTATATGCACCAGCCTTCTCCTTGCTGTGCTGCTATGCCATGGGAGCGCACACCTACCGGAGATCCATGAAGAAAAGAAGGCTCCTGAACAAAGTTCAGCTGGGAGCTCGTCCAGAAATGTTCGTACTGAAGAACAACAGAGATTTTCAGTGCCTACATTGAAGAAGAAGAACATAGCCAGGGGAGGCAAGTTTTGGCAGAAGGGACTGGAACAAGCATGCTGATCTGGATGAAAATGTTCCTTTGCTGAAGCAAGAAGTTGCTACGGAAGAGTACATGAAATATAATGCAGAAAAAGAGTCTAAAGGTGCATTTTCTAGCAAGGATGAGTATGCCAATTCATTCAATGACGTGCATCGTAATACAGTTGACGGGGAAGAGGCCACCCTAGGCCTTTGCTCTTCAAGTGAGAATGTCAGTGAGGATGTTAAAGTGGTGGCAAAGCCAGATGGTCAAGGGACAGTATCTGCAGATGCACAGAGTGGTGAGGTGGCAGAAGTTTCAGACCATAAGTCTGTTGATGGAACTCCAGGTAAATGCAAATGGGGTCGTGCTGTTTCCGTGCGCCGGAGGAAGAAGCTTGCTGATATAAAGATTGAGGCTATTAATTCTGTTGTGGACAACCAATTAGACCATTCTCTATGCTCGCCATTCGATACATTTGGCAGCCATGATAACAGTTCATCAGGTTTTGACCCTGATAATGCAGAGAGACACTCTCCTGATGTTTCTATGACAGTCACTGCTCCGGTGCTTGATGAGACAGAGACGGGCCCTCCTTTGGGTGTTGATTGCTCTTGCCATGATCTCGTTACTACTGATGATTCAGACAATCATTTCAACATATCTTCTTCTCAACCACAGAGTGTTAACAATGAAGTGGCTGACAATAGCAAGGCCAAAGATGATGGTGAGGAGAAGGATGATGCTGGAACTGAGCCTGCACTTCTGTGGACAGGTGACAACGAGAAGAATGTCATGGATCTTGGGTACTCCGAAATCGAACGGAACCGTCGGTTGGAGACACTGATGGTGAAGAGAAAATCAAGGAAAAACATACAATTTGACCCTGACAGCATGGGCGGTGTAGCAGATGATGTATCACGATTCCGTCCCCACGTTCAGCCTATTTCAGTTTCAGCACGAAGGATGAACCTCTTTGCTGATGATGCAGAAATTCCAGGCTCGGCTCCTCCTATTCTGCATCCACGAGACAATAATCCCTTTGATTTCCTTACTGATGAACAATCAGACGACAGTGGCCTCCCTGCACCCGATAATCTGGAACCCCAGGAACCGATGCCAGTGCCGCATCAAGACGCGGTCTTCAGAAGGCACGAGAGCTTCAGCTTCGGCAGGCCGCCTCAGAGTCAGAGACACGGACCCAGCAGGTTCAAGCCATGCTTTGCCCTGGAGGAATTCAGCCTTGACGAAGCGAGCGCGAGCAGTTTCCAGAGGCAGTTCAGTGACAGGAGCGTGTCAAGGCTGAGCGTCGTCTCCGAGTGCGACACGGTCTCTTCAGTCGGCGATCAGGAGCACAACGACCTCATACGGAGCTACATCCGCGGGGTGCGCGAATCATCGCCGAGCCTGCTAGGACAGGACGGCGGCGATGGCGACGCTGTGTCTGTGTGTGCTGGAAACGAGTGCTCGGACGGGATCGGCTTCGTGGACAATGAGGCTCTGAATGCTGTCATCTGCTGATGATGAATGGATATGATGAGCCCTTGGACTTTCACTGCAACGAACTTTGATGATTGTGGATGAAGAGCAGACGAGGTTGTTGTAGCCCTTCTATGTTTTCGTTGTTTCTTTTCGTGTTTGCACTCGTCTGACAGGGGGTTTGTATTCTAGTATACTTGGTACGTTTGCACAGTACAAAACATGTATACTGTTTTGCTGTACATTCTTGCGTGTACTCCCCCCGTCTCAAGAGACTGTAGTTGTAGGGTTTAAATTTTGTCTCAAAAAGACCGTGTTGTAGGAGGTCATCATTTCATGTGGGACCCACTCAAAGCCGATCTGTTCTTGGTCATGGAAGTTTCTCGGAGGCAGACACCGCTCGGGTAAAAAAAAAAACAACCCCAGCTTACCACAGGTGCCCTCGTCCACTCAATTTTTTGGTCTGCCGCAATAAAACGAAAAAGAAAAAAAAATCAACCGGAGCTTACCCACAGGTGCCCTCTCGTCCACTCATTTTTGGACTTCCGCACCGCATCCTCCGCCTTCCTCCAGTTTTGTTCGCCATTGGAGCTCCTTTCCCCATCCTGCAGATCTCCTTCTCTTGTTCCTCTTCCTCTTTCAGCTATCACCTTCGTTGCGTACATGTCTGGCGGCACCAGGTTCCGTAGCCGTCGCCACGAGGGTGCCGCCAGGAAAGGCAGCGATGGTGGTGGCGTGCATCATGTCATGAAGCCAGCCGGCGTTGGGATCCAAAGTGAGGCCGCAACGTCGATCTGTGCCCGCGAGCGCCGTATAGGACGGGGTCGCCTGCGCGTCGACCATCTAGGAACTATTTGTTTATTGTTATTTGTTCTGTCTGCATGTTCGTTTGGCCAGGCTGGTTCACTGCTGATTCGTAAAGAAATATTACTTATTGATTTGTACGAGGTTTGTGTGAGAAAAAAATATTGTTTCGTTTAGAAATTTACGATCGGTTACTATCGTTCACCCCAGCCGAACATGCCACCCCAGCCGAACAGGTTGTTGTATCTTCCACAAGCTCCTGGACGCAATTTAAACTAAGGGGTGTTTGATCCAGGGAATAAAGTTTAGTCTGTGTCACATCGGATGTTAATTAGGAGGACTAAATATAAGCTAATTAAAAAACTAATTACACAAGAGTAGACTAATTTACGAGATGAATCTATTAAGCCTAATTAATTCATCATTAGCACATATTTACTGTAGCACTACATTATCAAATCATGGACTAACTAGGCTTAAAAAATTCGTCTCACAAATTAATCGTAATCTGTGTAATTAGTTATTTTTTTAATCTATATTTAATACTCCATGCATGTGCCTAAACATTCGATGGAATAGGGACTAAAATCTGGTCTAAGGAACCAAACACCCCCTAAGTGCGGTGTGCTACCATTTACAGCTGTCAGTGCATCAGTAATCTTTTTATTGGGGTAAAATCGTAATTTCTCGCCAAACTTAATTTGCGTGCTCAGTCCTACTGCAACGGTTTTTTTTAAGGACCGAAGGAGTACTGTACAAAGGATCAGATGCTAGAAGGCTGAACACTTGGAGCCAGCACCTGTTTGCAGTTTTGTTTGCACATTGTACCTTTTTCTTCAGTTCTGAATCTCTCCAGCAGTGTGGACCTGCGCTGCCCGCGGTTTCTCCAGTTCAGAGCTGTGGAGTTGGAATTGGAACTTGCTCTTGTTTAGTTCATCAAAACTCCCAAACTTTGGCACTATGTAAAAAGAAGATTTCTCATCACATCAAATTTGTGGTGCATGGAGTACTAAATGTTGACGAAATCAAAAACTAATTGCACAGTTTGATTGTACTTTGCGAGACGAACGTTTTAAACCTAATTAGTCAATGATTGGACAATTATTACCAAATAAAAATAAAACGCTCCAGTGTAGCTCCAGTGCCGACGAATTCAGCCGGCGCGGAATCTGGCCGGAACTAAACGCGGCCTTGGAAAGCCTTGTCTTGTGGGGAGATTCTTCTCCCAACTTGGCGCTGGCGCCAACGAAAATGCTAGTCGTAGGCATTTTTCTCAGTAGCTTCTGCGCTAACCGCTAGGAAAGGCATGCCAGCCACTGCACGACACGCAATCGCTGTAGATGCCAAAAACTTTCCCTGCACAAGTCACACGGTTCAAGGAGGAAAAGTGCAGCGTGGATAGAAATGCCAAAAACGACCCAACCATTAGCATGGACGATGGACGCCGAACGCCGTGCTGCACAGCACCAAACCAGCCACATGATACGTACTTCCGAACAGGCTGTTTCGGTCTGTGAAGGTCCGGAGAATTCTGAGACTTGCGTCAATTCGCGATCAGATTGTTCTCAACTTTACTTCTGCATAAAGTTTTGATAGCTTCAGCGACTGGGCGCTCCATGACAAAGAAACCTTGCATTAAGCTACTCGTAGGGACGGACTGATCGGCAGATCACGGGGAAACAGAGACCGAGCTGACCAAGCCGGTTTTCAGAGAGAAGATGATGACGGGCCCGGCTGGCAGTAAAGTCGGCTGATAAATTGGTTGAAGCTGTTTTGTTGTGAAAGAAAAATTACTATATATTCTAGCTGATAAACTGACTGATAAGTTTAAACGAATAGGCCCGAAGTCTGCTCGGAGATTGCTCTCACCTAATAGAAGTAGGGTTGGAACCGAGTACATCCATGATCCGATCGAGTGGCATTCCAGCACCCCGGTTAGTTTGTTAGGATTGATGTTATAAAAAACAATAAACAATCAGTCACCTTTATTTACCATTTAGATCATATCCCCTGTGTATCTAAATAAATAGATTTCTAAAGTTGTTTTGAGTCAAAATTTTTAAATTTTGACCGAATTTTTAGAAAAACCCCGTTGAGATTTATGTCGTCAAATTAGTATTATTAGATATATCATAGAATATATTTTCAAAATGTGCTCATTTTAGGTTATAGATATTGTTACTCTTTCCTATAAAGTATCACCCTGTTTTTCAGCAATACTTTTCAGCGAAGGAACAGTGTTTTCCTCTCATAACAAATCAGCATCAGATAAATTTCAGCGAAACGAACAGGGCCATATATTTACATGGACTTAAATCATTAAATGGTTTTGTAAATACGTCCTAGCAGGTAGTTATACTTGTTAAAAAACACAAATACTGTAGCAAGTGAGAAATTTCGAGGAGAGAACTAAATCCAACTTCCCTTTAACTGCTAATTCATTAGGTGCCAATAAAGTGGTTTAGTGGCTGAAATCCTCCTTATATGAATTAAATAGATGATTAGTCTATCTAATCACATTTACTCTATCCCGTATTGGCTCTTTAAGGGCCTGTTTGGATTGGAGGAAATCCAAAGGAATTTTGGAGGAATCAAATCCTATGGAAATGTTTTGTATTTTGGTGTTTGGAATGAAGAAACTTCAACAGTAAAACAAAGAGAAGTTTCCTACCTCCATTCATTTCACGGGAAACAAAACATCCAGTCCAAACCAATGGATTCACGAAGACCGAGACAGCAAGAGAAGAGAAACAAAAAATAATGTTACTTCCTGCGTTTTTCCTGTGTTATGGATTCCTGCGTTTCAAACACCCCTTCTAGTTATTTCCCACGTTTTTCCTTTCCACTGTTTTATCACTACACACTCACCCCATTCCTGTGTTTTTTTTTCTATTCCCATATTTTTTATTCTTACGTCCTAAACAGGCCCTTACCGTTTTTCTCTCTTTTTGGCCATTTATTTGAAACGGTCAAACTATTTAATGGACCGTTTGTTTAGAACATACTCCTGCATGTTAAATGGACCGTTTATTTGGAGTATACCATATGGTTGGTCTCGTTTACCATTTAAATTGCAAAGGGTTGTCAGGACTACTGCTGCATTGTGCAGTTGCTTCAAACATTTGATATTGGAAATCTGACCGGCCATGGAATCTTTGGAAAACTATAGGTGCTGCTGCCTGCTGGTACCTTGGTCCAAGAAAACATGCCCATGGACATGGCGGCATGGCCCGTGGGGTAGATAATTAGAAGCATAACCAATGAATGAAGCATTGACGATGAGGTCCAAGCTAGCCCAAGAAAACCTACTACACATGTTGGGGCAGTGGCATCATGTGGCGGCAGGTGCCAGATGTGTCAACTCGGATGTTTGGAGCTGTTTGATCCAGGGCTAAGACGGTCTTCAATTGGTGACTCGTATCGACATCTAAACTCAAAATAGATAGTAGGAGATCTAAAATTAGCCTCCAACAGAGCATCTATATGGGAGACCTATTTTGAATTGTCTGAGAGACACAACCTAAATATGAGTATCCTCTCTCCTGGAAACTCATTTATAGAAAGAATTCTCTTTTAGATCCTGTTGTTGGAGAATATGTCGAATGGGTATTGAACCTTTTGACTGTAGTGCTACCCAAATGTTGAATGGGTCTTGTATTTTAGGTGTTATTGTTGGAGATAGTATAAGGCCATCCACAGTGTGAGCCGTGCCCGATACTGTTCACGTATGCCAGCTCACAGTGATGCTCGGTTGAGTTTGGGGCTGCAGCGTGTAGAAGCGATGCCAGAAAAAGTAGCGCATTCTTTGGGCGCGTTCGTTGGTTTGGATGTTACAGACCAGCCGGCTACTTCCCTTATAATTTACTGTTTATCAATTAGTTGAACAGTGTTTTTTTTCTCACAACAACTAGTCAGTTTTAGCTAAGTTTTAGACCAGCAAACAGTGTTTATCTTCCATCAGCGATCTGACAACAACAGCAGAGTGCTGGCTGCAGTCTCACCGCAACAGTACAATACTTGTTTTTTTATTGTTTTGGGGCACCGGTGTAACTTCGTTCTCCGCTCCCATTTTTTTTGGCAGCACTCCAAATTGGCACTGCCTACCGCAGTGTGTGAAGTGAAGCTTGAATGCTCTCTCCCGTCTTTTGGCACCGCACAAGCACAACATTGCGGAAGGGCTTAAGTTCAGTCCTGACACATCGAAGGTTTGAGGTCAATTAGAAAGACTAAACATGAGT